CATACATTTTCCACGCTGCTTTGCAGATGGCGGCAGTCTTTACGTGAAATTTTCTGTCCTGGTACTTTACCTAAATCCACACAGTCAACCGTTTTGGCCCATTGAGTGACAGTGACAGATGGATAGAAGATTAATCACCATTACAGTATCATAGCCTGAGATACCATTAGTCCTATGTATACCTTCTGCGGCTGCTTTGTGATTTGATCACGTCGAATGCTGCTTTTTATTCTCTTTCTCGCTCACTTCTTCATCCACTGAGAAATATCAAGTGATGTCATTTTAGCATTATTCCAGGAGGGCATTAAAATTGTTGGAGAGCAATATATAGTTCTCTTTGAGAGGGGCCAAATATGCTAACCTTGTTTTTTCCAACACTTGGGTAAAAATCTGAAGCGAAAATTTCGATTTAAAGCTTTCGCGACTACAGGGATTCATCTTCTGGGTTCTTTCGGTAAAGTCACGTAGAATGGAGATAAAATAATAAAAATAATAATAACAATAAAATTCTCACGACGTTTCGGCCACAACACAAGGAAGGCTACTTGTTGAGTGGCGATACGATAAGTTATGAAGTATCTCTCTCACTTCCCAGCATTATGTGGAAATGTGCAACAAGCTCAGTTGGTCAAAATCAATACAGGAGTTCATTGATCGCAATGCAATGACAGTTGTTTTAATAACAGCTGGCTCCACTGAACGGCCTTTAGATGAAAGCCAGACAGCTTCCCAGGAGAGAAAATAACTCAGTCCCGGTAACGCCATACGACACAACCAAATGCCAATGAGCATACAAAACCCCAGTCGTGTGAACCCACAAAATGTGTCAGATGCCAGACCCCATAAATAAAGGTCATGCAATGTCACTCCTCTCCTTGTGCTTACAAAATAACCTTTGCACAATTGTGGACATAGCTGAAATCCGCATCATGTAAGAAGCGGTATTCAAGTTCGCAAATGTTACAAGAGTTGTTGGGCCCTATTATGATAGTTATATTATTTTAAAGGTGTTTATTGCAACATATCACACCTGTACAATGTATGCTGGGAAAATTAATTTCCCTGATAAACCTATGCACGACAAGTTGACTCCATCAGATTGAACAAATTCGATGGGTGAGAATTACGTTGGAGTTAAGCGTACTATCACCATACTGGTTAAGTATTAGAGTTCAAAATGTGAGGCAGCAGGGGGGTCACTCAGGGGATCAGAGCAATGAGCCCAGTGTGGCCGACATCCTGGGTTCGAATATAAGTTTGAGGTTTCAGGAACCCAAACTTAATAACCAGGTTATCATGCGTAGCAGGTTGACGGTGAAGACCGGCCACTAATGACTGCACACAAAGAAAAACATCATTAAATTGGATTTTTAAATTATTGGTTTTTTTTAGTTAGCTGAGCTTGTATTGGGCAAGGACAGCACTCACTTTGCACCCAGGCAACCGGAGAGCACAGTCTTGGATATTTCTTGAGCTATTGCTATAACAACAATGACATATATTGAAGGATGTACGATATACGTTTAAGAAGAATTTATATAAGACAAATATAAACCGTAAAATCTTATCAATGATTCTCACACTGTCTAAATTTTAGCTTTGGGAATGAAAAAAAACTATCGGCTCGACTGTCACGCAATAATCTCGCAGCGGAACGCGTGATGGAACAATAGGCCGATGAAAGGCTTTTCTGGAGAAGTCCCGCGAAAGATGTCTCAAAGACATGGTGTGCACTGCTAAGCATAATTTTCTAATCGATTATTTATCTCATGATAAGACCCCAAAATAAGTTGGAATTAAGTGGGGGGAAAAAAGATACCGATCAAATATGTAAGCATGAACTCGGTTACTACCTGATATTATCCAGCAACAATGATGTACTGATGTTAAATGACATCGAGTGAATATCTAAGCTGGGCAATTACCTCGCCAGGTGCACTGTTACACATCTATTAGTTATTGCATTGTATTGCATTGTTGCATCGTTGTTTACAATTAGTGTCTCATATTCTCAAGTATTATCGAACTTTACTCCAATATTCTGGGGATTCATTTATTTGCTTGATAATTTCAGTAAAGTAATGCAAATGGGTGTTATATTAATTGGCGTCTATTTAACATATGTTCAGCATGGAAATTTAATGAGGCTTTGTGTTACGCGATCAGCAAAAGCGCGTACCATCTTTCTCAATGTGCAATGTGTTTGCAGACAAGACATGAGGGCAAACACATGCATTGGGGGTGTAATGAAGCATTGATTGAGCAATTAAAACTGATTGTTTCGCTCGAGATACATGTATGGAATCGCGTGTGCTGCTAGAATCGATGATTTTAGATTCATGTATGCTGCTGTTGTATGGGTAGGAGTGGTGGCACAGTGGGTGAGTGAACTGCGCCGTGGAATGTGGCGACCCGAGTTCGATTCCCCGAGATAGCGGACAAAAAGTGGCGATGGATATCTGAACCAGTCCTTCGCCTCGCGCCCCCCCTCCCTTCACCAATTCACATTGAGCCACCGTGGAGAAGTGTGGTCGAACAACCCACACGGTCGACGCAACGTGGCCAGCCTTTAATCCGTCAGTGGATTTGACAGAGGGCTGAATATTAATATTGTTAAAATAACTTGCTGTTCAATTCGTTCTTGTGAACCCTGCCACCGCTAGATGCTACAATGCACCACATTGTGAAAGTTGATTCAGTTTTTACAATGTGGTCAAATGTAGTGCCTCTAGTGGCTGCAGGGGTCACGATGTTACAAAAATTAATTGATTCTTTGAATCAAATTATCAGACCTGAATCATGGCAACTCGTTGACTTGAGAACGGGGGAGGGTAGCAAATGCTTGCAGGGCAAATACTTATTCACAACAAGTCTCAATGTTAAACTCATACTTATGCTGTGGTGAGAGTTCACCAGTGTTCACACGTAATCTGATTTACAATTGCTCGTTCGTCACGCATTAATTTGTACGGCGAGGCATCGCTACTGGTGTAAAAGATACAGCCCTCTGTATTGGCTATATACCAGAAAAGGACCATCAGCAAAGGTACTGCCATGTTCCAGCCAATTAATAAACGCATAAAACCTATGGATGTGTTTTTACATCACGCACCTTCATTCAGACTCATTAATTTAGTTCCCGTTGTCAGCCGTTGTTCATCGGCCAGTCATCATTGATGATAGTAAAAAAAAATTTACCGGCAACAATCCATCGACGAATATTATAGCCACTAATTTCGTTAACAAAATATCCGCTGGATTGTATTTATGTCTTCAAAGTATGATCCCAGTTCAAACACTTTGCAAGGTGAGAGTCATACGCAGCGGAAGGCCTTAAGCCTGGGCTTTAACTTCAGTCGCACCTACTCACTGGCACTCCCAAACATCGCTTTTGACGAGCATTTAATCATCATAGGGAAACCTCATCACCTGCATAATGCTGGGTAGGGAGTACTGTGTGTGGCGCTTGCCTAGCATGGCTCACTCCTGCTCTTAGACGGCAGCTTTTAGTCAGAGGGTTTATGGGCAGGGGCAGTAAAAGTGGCCCCGTCACCCCGTCAAATATTTATGGGACACTGCGGCCTGCATGTCTTTGTTTTGCTTGTGGCAACATGAATTGTTAACGGCCTCTTAAGCAGTCAATCACCGCTGGATAAAAATGCGCCTGTAAACTTAGCACAAGTGCTGCACTGACTTATCCGCTTGTTTAATTTAGGATTTGCTGGCACCCGACCGTGCATGGCTTCCAAAGTCATTAGAAAGACACATCAACTCATAATTAACTCATTGCTACGGTTTTGTTTTTGTTTGGGTCAATGGTAAGTTTAGAGTAAAGAGTTGCTTCTTATTAACCACCACCATCATCATCATCATTAGCCATGGTCAATCCACTGCAGAATTAGGACCTCCCCCCACCAAGCCGCCCAGCACCTGCACGTGAACCACTTTCATTCTTTAGCTGCCACTTTGTTACTATTCATGACCATCGGCCATTACCGCCTTCCCCCCTTACAGCGAGACGTCCTGCCCAAGCCCACTTATTTTTCTTGCCAGGTCGGATGATGTCATTATCATATGTAGAGTCTTCATCTGTGTATGAATGTATGTATGTTGAACTTCTTTCGCAACCGTAGGTGGCCAACTGTGGCAATCGGAGGTGCGGGGGCAGGATAAGAAAATAAAAGCTAAAAACTGCTCAAAAGAAATAAGCTTTCAATCTAGATTTGAATTTGCATAGCTCCAGTGGTTTCCTAATATCGGAAGGAAGAGCGTTCCAGACGGCCAAAAGCAGCGCATCTGAAAGCGTGCGGTGACCGTCTTTGTTCGATGGCTTCTGCTTCTTGACGAGATCAGCAAGGTATTGTAGTTCATTTGTGGCAAGCACTTTGAGTGTCATGTGTGTTCCTCTTTCTGTCTCCCAATGTAATTCCTAGCATGAATCTCTACATGCTTTTAGACACCGTACATTTATAAATATTTACAAAAGGTCCCTTGAATTGGAGATTCAAAGAGAATGAAGCTTTTAAAATGCAATTTTTTCACGTAGATTTCTTTTTTTTGTTAGAAAGAAACATTTACCGTTTTAATTATTTTTCACCATCATCTGTGCCAAGAGCACCATTCATAAGTAAAGCCCCAGAACCAAGTGTGCGTTGACGAGAGCACGCGCATTTAGAACACTGACATGTAACGTGGCAAGGAGACAGGCGGGGGCGGGGCATGGGGGGGCATGGGGGGGGCAAGGAGGGGGCGCAGGGGGGTTAACGTCCAATTTTTTTTCACTTGGAAATTTCACTTCCAATAAGAAATTCAAACGGCACAAAAATCTATCAACGTCACTGTCGCACGACAAAGCCAATGACCTCTTACAGATTTGTAAATTAATAAATTTACATATCTGTACATTGAAACACTGTGTATTCTATGATATATGGGTCAGCGCGTTGGGGTCTCAACAATTTATATTTTAGCAGAGCGTGAAATGAGAGTGTGTGTGGTACCTTGACCTTATCCAGGGTTTCCTGGATTTGGATCTCGTTGTCTGGGTCCGGCTGAATACCCACAATTCTCTGGGCTTCGTCCAGCCAGCGGGAGAGGCTTTCAATCCTCTCACGCAGAGACGCTTGCAGAGATGTCCCCTCCTCAAACCTGCACCCAGCAGACAGGCGTGCCACGAATGCATTAAGAGATTAACACGAAGAATGAAGGGGGGGGGGGGAAGACACAGGCAGAAAAATACCCTCCACATGCATACAGTGTACATATTAACAATAAAAGGTAAGGGCGCAGCCCTACAATTCTCAGTCACACCTTTCTACGTGCCATGCGAAGGAACGAATTAATGTGGGAGGTCGACAAGAGTGGCGTTTCAGATTTGATGGCGGTCTGTCATTGTAGCAAAGGTAAAGGTGCAGGCCTGTAATCCATTGTTCACGCCACTACTGCCTGAATGGTCTCCACGAAATGCAGCTCTAGAGATGCCCCCTCAAGAGGGTATGTTGGCCCTACTCTTCCATGCTGGCCAAGGCATCTTCGAAGAGGTGGGAGTACCCGCACTTTTACCACACTGCCCGTGAAACCTGCCGATCGCCTAACCATGCCGAACACATTTACGCTGCCGATGGGGACAGAGGCGGGAGCATTTAACAAACTTGCACCGTTATTTCACCTGCCGCCACCGTCGGTAGATCTAATTGAACCGGCGAATTCTCGATCGCAAGCCAAGCGCGCTGCTAAACCGTGGCACCATGGCAGGATCCCGCGCGTTAAAATGCGCACACGCATAACCGCAGGTGAAACCGCGTGCATCGTATGCACAGGCAGCATGATTGTTCAACTCCACGTCCTCGTCAGGTAGCGTCACTTATAAGAGCGTCGCCTCCATCGTAGGAGAGCAATGAAAACTTTGTGTTGCTCCCCGCGAGCTCTCTCACCGAGACACTTAATCCTTCTACAAGCCACTACATGTTGCTAATTATTCAAGCTAATCTCACAACAGACCAATAATAAGCTCTCTGAAGATCGGCGCTACACACACAACACTAAGCGCATGTGCTTTGCGTAAAATTAAGGCTGCTGTACCGGCAATTGCGCAGCGGTGGGATGGCAATGCAACGGAAAGCCTCTTGTATCCATCTCACTTGAGCAACGCGAAAACAGCTCGGTGGCAAACTGCGATAACGACGCTGCGTTCTCTCACGGCGAAAGAAATGCTCACGACGTCTTGGGGGTCCTTATTTATTTTTGCCGACCACGTGAAAGCGTGGGTAAAATCTGGGGCGGAGCTGTAATCTGTAAGCATGGCCGCCGCGGACGAGACCGCACAAAAGGCCCGCGGCACGAAAACCCCGTTTATATTTCCGCGCTGGCAGGATCGAGCGGCGATCCGGAACAAACCTCCCCAGCCGCGGCGAGTGAGATTATGTTATTACCGCGCGACATTTACCAGCGCTATCATTTCTCTTGCTACTGTCACATCCATTCACAAGCGTTCGCTCGGAGCTAAACACAGCGGCCAAGCGCCACACTTTCTCGGCGCATCCCGCGGGCATCTTGCGACGTCCGCAACGTGTCGTCGCCCAACGCATTCCGCCGTACGTGTGCCGCCTCGCTAAATTTCAAAACAATTAAGTTATTTTGGTGAGTATTTATATTTCGTCAATGATGCTTCGGTGTCGTGCAATATATATCAGAATCTTTATTTGTCCTGGAGAAATCTGATGAGCTATGAAGCTCTTTTTTCAAAGATGTCCAGTAGGTATGGGTGCATTTCCAAAAACACTGCTTACCTGTATCAGCATTGTGATTATTGTCATACGAAATATATATTGTGTAACACGAAACATATTGATAAAATTGTTTGGAATAATTGCACCTCCAATGCGATTGTTTACGTTTTGTTACAAACACCACATATCTAGATTTTTTTTTAATAGCATTGCAAATGTGAAAAAAGTTAACAAAAGTAAGATTATGATAAGCGTTGAGCAGAGCCACCAATATTTATATTCCATATACATAATACAGAAGATTTCTGACAGTGTTAAATGTGTCCATCAGTTACACAAAAAGTGCATCATCTTCTTCTTCTTCTTCAAAGTTTTGCTTTTTCAAAGCCCTCACCGATATGCGACTTAAGTTGGAAGTATTGAACGAGTACAACAACAAAAACAACAACAGCGTTCAAGTGGTGAAATGAAGCTCAACAAATATAAAGCAACCCAATTGCTTACCTTGCTTTCACTCACTTTGACCCAGAAACATGGAACAATTGTGCACCCATTGTTCCGCAATGATTGTTTGTTACGGGAAGAACATTTTCCAGCCCACAACATTTCAGTTTGTACAACAGACATTTCTCATGACCCGCAGTAACGATCGAGGCGCAAGCTCTGCAATTCCGTGCTCGACCTCCATGAGAGGAGGCTCCGGAGAGACCCTCTTAAGGGCACATTGACCTACTCTTCCACACTGGCCAAACATCTTGAAAGAGGAGGGAGTACCCAAATTGTATCCCACCACAGGCGACCTGCTAATCAACCAACTGTGGTTTTGACCATTTACACTGCTGAGTGGGCATAGACGGGTGGATTGGAGAAGTCTGCTCTGTGTTTCAACTGCCACAAGGAAGATCGAATCAGTGACCCCTGGATTGCAAGTCCAGCGAGCTAAGCATTACACCACGGCAGGAACCTCATTCTCAGCACTTCCTCGCAAAAATAAGTCCATAAATCGCAGGTTAAGTAAACGCTGCCTTTGAAGCGGTCGACAGACAGAATGCGCCCACAAGAGACAAGGCGGGCTTTAATCACGGTGAGCAGTCACGCAGGGGCGATTCCGCAATATGATGTGGGTAATTCCACAAGTTTGCCTGCCATGTTTTGCACGCATTCACCCACCCTGGCAGACACCGTGAAGGGAACCCGCGACTTCTCGTCCCAGCAGCAGACAAGCACAAGTCGACGGTGTGTGTCTGTTTGACATCATTTCCAGGAGTGCTTGCCAGTGACTTTGAGCCGGGCTTCATTTGGCTGATCCCTCATCTCTAGAGCCAAAAGCCAATGAGCACTGGGCCAACTTGGATCAATTTACGTTTTTTGTATTATTAATGCCAGATTTATTACTCGCCAACCCCCCCAAGTTAACTCCTGGATTGAGATCTGTAAATGTGCACGGTATTTATTTCATGACATTTCTGAAGGCTTAATTCCCCCCCCCCGCCCCCCTTTGCTCTCGTACCTGCGCCTTGCTGCTTCACATTACCGTGTGACATTTGACTTCATTATAATATTTTAGGCCCCAGCGACTGGTGTTTTGAACTGTGTCAAAATTAATTACGGCAGCCGGGATGCTGCAACGGCTCACTCGCAACGTGACGGGCTTGAGACGCCTCGGGCAGTTGGGTCGCTTAAAGAATAAACCGGCCCTCGTAGTTCAACGCCACAATGGCTGCGGATAACAAACACCAACAAATAAAAAAATAAGGTAAAAGGCGCAGGCCCTGCAATTACTTGCTCACGCCGCTGCTTGCAGAAGAGCGTACACTTCAGATAAAATCCCGAAAACGCTACGAAGTGGTATAATTGGTTTAACTCTTCAGTACTGGCCGGCCAACTTGAGAGAGGTGTGAGCACGCACAGTTTATCCCACCGCTTGTGATTTGCCGATCGACTACACTGGTGGTGCACCCACTTACACTGCTGGGTGGACAGACGCGGGGGGGGTTAAGTTTAAGAAGCTTGCTTCACCTGCTGTTTCAACTGCCACGCCGGGAAATCAAATCACGCTGGCGACCTCTTGCGTTGCAAGCCCGGTCAGCTAACCATTGCACCATGGAGGAAACCGGCGGCAAAAAAAAAACAATTCCACAATTCCAACGTATTTTCCAAAAACAAGATTGAACCTCATCTGTTACCACCATCTAAATGTAATTTCTTTTGCGCACGGATTAATCTGCTGGCGGCTCAATCCAAGCTGGGGCAGGCTACTCTTAGTTAATGGGCAAAAAGAAGTATAATCAAGGTTATGATGACGGAATCGCAAAAGACGCTGCTCAGCAGGGGAGTGGCAGGTTTGGGATGCAATGATCAAGGAGGGTAATATGTGTATATATCGCCGTGTCACAATGTGATGTGAACAGTACAGTCGACTTTTGGGACTTCACAGAACGCGCTGGAGCGGATCCAATGTTGGAGAGTGATTCAAGGTACGGAGGAGGGAAGAATAAAAAAAATAATAGGCAACGAATATACGATCGGCAGCGCACTGCAGAAAACCTATATTCCGAGTGACAAATGAACAGCAACATCATCGCAATGCAAGTTTACTCATCAATGGCCCGCAACGAGACAAAGAAGTGTAATGAGGAACGTGTGATTTATGGTGCACAGCCTTTTGCTTAAGAAACGGCCAAGTTGATATTGCTATTAATCTCCTGCAATGCACCACGGTGACAGCTGACCTCCGTTTGAACGACATAGCAAAACGGCGTCCATTAAGTGACCCGGGTTAAATGTATTCATCTGATAATCTTTACCTCATCAAACAGTGTCTCTGCCTGTCAGTGGGGATTGTTCACATGATGTACAATAAGCAGCGGGCAGCTTGACACGCAAGAGAGAACAGCTGTGCGCGCATAACGACATGTCCACCCAACGGTTAGCGTCTACAAATTGCATTCATAAAGGCGAGTGCTACGGGGCAAGGCGCTACGCTGATGAATAGACGTTAACGGTATTTTTAAATTGAACGCGTGCATTAAACGTAATCTACTGCGCGCTTCCCCGGACGCGGACGCGGACCGGGCACGCGCAAGCGCAATCAACGCATTACACAGGACAACAACTGAAGTCGCACAATGACATCTGTCGCCGCAGTTGTAGGGAGGCGTGCAATATGAAGCACTTACTGTGGCCGACTAAGCAAGCGAGCCTTTTGGCAAACGCTACCTCCGTACATTTAATTTCAAAGTGACAACGTGCGGCTCTCGCTCGGTTTGATATCCTGCGCGCAATAAATAAATTAATTGCTACGCGTAAGTCGGCAGAGGTATATAAAATATATATAAGCTGACATGTGTGGGAGCACCTCTGCCGTGCACTTGTGTGTGTGTGTGCGGGGAGCGGTATTGCAACTGTTAGCGCTACGCT